ATTATATTACAACCTTAAATGGTATAAAACTATATCATTTTCAAAAGATTTTTATATATATCACTCCACTGAATCTTATTGAACCACTTTGCAAAGTAAGCAAGGTGTGTATTATTCTCAGTTCCCACAAATAAGGAAACAGAGCCCTGGCGACTTTAAGTGATTTGCCTAATATCAGTTTTCAAAGGCTTAAGTGGATCTAGAAATCAGGTCTCCTGATGCCAAGATCAGTGGAAAGGTAAGAGATGGGGAAAACAGTGATAGCTTGCTAAAAGTACAAACAAGTCAGGAATAAAGGTTAAACAAAAAATGGAAAGATACTGTGAGGACACACTTATGTCCCAAAGCTACCACAGAGCTCAGGCCTGTCCTGGGTCCCTTTTAAGTCTTTACACAGCTGTGTGAACCAAGACAGAAGAATTTAAGTTACAAATTCCCTTTCACCTAAGCAGGCTCAAATTAGGTTATATTCCCAAAGCCAGAAGGATAGTAGGGTCTCAAGGACCAAGCTGTGTTTAAATACCCACCACTGAAGAATAGTCAGCTAGTAGAGAGGGCTTTATGATTTACAGCATGCAGCAATCAACCAGGTCTTGGGGCACGTCAATCTAATATATGGTGTTAATTACCCAGGAACATGTCATCAAGTCAGCAGTTCCCCCCACTGGTGGACACGCGAAGGCCAACAACTTCCAAAGCAATGGGTCTCCAGAGAAGAGCCCCCTTCTGTTTCATCACTGCCCACAGGGTGAATCTCAGAGTCCTCCAAGAGGGTGCCCAGAACGCTCCTTTCTGGGGTGGGGCAAGGTGCATGTTTAGACAACCATGCTAAATAACATGTGAAATGGACTCTCACTAACCAACCCTCTTGAGCTTAGAGCTGAGCTTCTGAAAGGCGTGGGTACTTCTGTATGGCCTGTGCACTGCCTGGGTCTGGCTGTCCGCTGCCCAGAGAGGGCACTGGAGCTGAGCACAACTACCTCATCCTACTGCAAGTGCTCTTTCATAAAAGCCAACAATGCGTTTTGCCCTAATTTCAAATTTCTCCACTTTATTTTGAACTAAAATGCACAGAAGAGAAACCGAGTATCTTGAAGTGAATTAGCAGCCTACGCGTGCCTGCTTCAAATTTCATCCATGCAGCCCCAGGCCAAGGTGAAGGTTAAGGGTCTCCGAAATGGGACTAAGAGATTTCTGCCCTGCATCTCTGAATGTCAGATGAGAAAGTAATCCGAGGTGACACAAGGGGTTTCTGGACCCTGACAGACTGTGTGTCTGTACCTTTCCCTCCCTCTCCTCACTGGCAGGGAGCTCTGGAAGACTCCTTTGCTCATCCATCCTCCAGTAATTGGTGAGCCAATTAAGTAACTAAGCAACTGTCTTCACTGAGCTTAAGGTTATACCAAGGAGAGTCTTTGGAAGGAATGTTATCTAATTACCAAACTTAAATTATTCACACTAAAGTGTAATTGTTCAAATTCCTCCCAAGATGTGTTTTCATTTTATGATGTATAAATCCTCAGAAAATCCATTAAATGGTAGCTGTCCTAGGAAAGACAGATGATGGCAGGCTGATAGGAAGGGCGAAGGGCCTTCGGACACCTCTCCAGGCACTTTTTAACTCACCCCTTCTACTCCACTTCTCCTCTGCCACCCTGTCTTCCAGTCCTACATGGTTACTCCAAAAGCCTGCTAACTGGTGTTCCTACCCGCATGACCCCCTTCACTTTCCACTCAGGTAGAGCTGTTTCTGGAATACAGACTGGCTATCCCTCCTCTGATTACCATCCATCGGTGGCTTCCCAAAGATTTCAAGATAAAAGTCAAGCTCATTAGCTTAGGAAACAAGACTCCCTGAACTTCACCCTAATTCTCTAGCTGCCACACATACCACTGTTTCAGCTGCTCCTGGAATGTAGCTTCCCTTTCTGTGCTCTGGTCCCACAAAGAACATCTATTCCTCTTTCACTACCCTTGCCATCCTCCCAGACGTCCAAAGCTACCTGCTCTGGCAAGCCTCACTCTGCACCATCACCAAGTCAGGAGACTGAGATCCACTTCACTGTGCTTGTTTCTACCACAGCAGCTTGGAGACTTTTAATTTAAGGAGACTTTCTACAGCTGCCTTATTGGGTGTATATAAAATAATTCTTGAAAGTTAAAAGTGACTCACTGTATTAATTTGCAGAAGCCTTCCTTGGTATCTGCCACAGTTTCTCGGGTATGTGACCAACATGCTGTGATGGTTCCACAGTCTCCACCTCCAACCAATTTTCTTTATTTATATTGACTTGTGTTAGTGTTCCTCACTCTTTTTTAGTGGACTTCATTTTTTCCTGAGCATTTATTTTTAGGTAAAGTGCTTTGGGTTGCAGATTTCTATTTGGAAAGGTCATCCTTTTCAACCCAGCACACATTTCAGGCAAGACAAATAGAAAATAATGAGCAAGACAGGGATACTGACAGCCATGTGAATCAAGACGTGATTAATGTAGCTCTGAGCACCTTCATATTTCAATTGGAGAACAGGTGACATCATTCTTATATTCTTAAATTCTAGACACATGTTGAAGAACTCAAATTATGTACTATTAATACAATCTCACTTAGTTCCTCTACTTAATGTAGAAACTAAATAAAAACATACTGAGATTTTAAAAAAACTGATATAAAGCCCCCAAATAGAAGCATTCAAAAGGAATAGGCCTTTTAAATGGAGGTGGGAGCACATGACTGAAGAGTGTGTGTCATGCTAAAAACAAGCCCACCCATCAAGAGCAGGACTTTCTCACCATATTCCTTTAAGTTCATATTAGTAATGGTAGGCCTTTTAAATGGAGGTGGGAGCACATGACTGAAGAGTGTGTGTCATGCTAAAAACAAGCCCACCCATCAAGAGCAGGACTTTCTCACCATATTCCTTTAAGTTCATATTAGTAATGGTTATTTCTCTGGGAAAGCCTTATTGGTTTGATCAGTAACATTTTTCCTACTTAGCAGAAGACTTGAAGTAAAATGTCTCATCTCCTTTGATCATCTATGTAATCATGAATGAGGAACTGGTTAAATAACACTGACAAAATGTGGCTAATACTTCACATGCCTAAAGACAAGAGGCTGGACCAGACCATCCTCTGATGTTTCACCCCAAAATTAAGATCTCTAATCCCATGAACAGGGTCCAGGAGCAAAAACTCTCCATGAAGAAAAATTAATCTAGTAAAGAGATAATAATCAAGACAATCTGAGTCATCAAAAACTAAGATTTCTGGAAATATAAACAAGAAATCTTTCTATAAACAAATTTTAGATTATTTTAGTAATTATTATTTTTGAAAATTCAAATTTTATTCCAAAAGACATAAATATCTGAAAAACATTGTAAATAAAAATAATTGTTTGATTTTTTAAAAACCACGTTCAGGAACACTGTAACAAGTGTTTATCATTGAATGCTGAAAGTTGAGTTAGGTACTGCATTTCTTGCTGAAATCAACTCTTTGCATTCAAAATTGGAAAGGTTTTTGAATATGGGTTGGAAATATCTGCATAGCGAGCAATAATTACACATATATGAATAACATTGTTTGTCCAAACTATGTTTACTTCCTAAATTTAGCACTATGAATTTTTTTCAAAAGTGTACTGTTTGTTAAGATAAAACTACTTTTTTTAATGGAAAAATAAAAGATAAGCCGTATTGACGTTAACAGTTGAGATCGTGGCTTTGATGCCCTGTTACACACTGCCATCCATCTAGCAGGTGGCCAGTAAATGAAGAGTTACTAGAGCAATTTCAAAAATAGAGCAGACCTTAATGACCCTCTGATGGCAGGACACTGCCTCTGGCTTTCAGGGAGAAGAAAGTTCTAAAACTGAGGCTAGGGTGCTGTGTAAATTGGTGGCTCTGCCACTTACTATGCAAATACCTGGGGTGTTTAATCACTGCAGCAGCCAGGAACCACCTGAGAGTCCTCCAGCAAGCCCAAGATTAGTCATGAATTTCTGGAGTGTTTCATCTTGACAGAAGGAAGGATGTACAAGGAGAAAAGGAGAAAAAGGTCCCAAAGACCAATTTACCATATTACAAGCTGTACCCAACCAGAATGCATGCATTCCACAAATGAAATAAACAATCCAGGTCAGGCCTTGCATGCATAATACTCTACCCAACTACTTCAGGGAGCTGTGGCAGGGAGTAGGGAGCAGCCTTGTGGAGCTGTGGTGTTAAAAACATTTTGCACAGCATTTGCTATTACAGAATCATAATGATTCCTAGAAAATGTCTTAAAATCACACCAATGTTATTTCTGCTTCTTACGCAAATGCGTTCTAGTTTGATGACGTTAATCAGGTACGAGAATTCCTAAGAAATGGTTTGCACATTGATGATCAAACAAAGCCTGGAGAGTTCTGAGGGCTCTCCGGGTCATCTCCATTCAGTGCACAATGCTCTGAAGCGCGGGGCTGCCAGAACCGCTACTTCAGCACCAGTTACAGCAACAGGTGAATCTCCGAGAAGACATGGGCAAGAACGAAGCAATTCACAGTACACAGTGGCAGAGTTAGGTTCTCGAGATGGCAGGGACGAAAGGCGGAGGCAACGGCGAGGAACAAAACCCTTCAGTCCCGGGTGGCGGCGGCGAGAGTCCATCTGCCTCCCGAGGCTCTTGCCCATCACCTGCCTCCCACCTGTGCTTTTTCCAGCAGCCAGATAGGCTTAAATTTCAGGCAGCGCCTGCAAAGCGCTGCCCAAGGCTTCCCAAAACAGACTTGAACTCTTTTTCAGCACACAGCTCCGTCTTTGCCTCACGCAAACTCCCTTCTGGCCACAAAGAGGAGCTTTCCTTCGGCGGCGGTTCCGCGGGCAGCGTCCCAGCTCCCACCGGCACCAGCAAAGTCTCTTTGCTTCTCGGCACCAAGTACTTGCCCCCCACCCCACCTCACCTACCCCCCAATCTATCACTCAAGCCAGAGAAGACCCCGAGCTGGGCACTCACCTCGCCCGGGAAGGACGCAGGCTCTGCGGACGGCCGCCGGCGGTGTTTCACTTTCCGCCCGCGCCCCTCCGGAGCTCGGGCGAAGACTCGGAAAAGGGATTCGGGAAAGGCCGGATAACTCTCATCGCGTCCAGCCCGAATGATCCTGGATCCAGGTTTTCACGGTGCCTCGTTTAAAGGCAAGTGGGACCCGGGTCCCGGGAACACAGCACGCCCCTCCCTCGCGAGCCGGAGGCGCACACCCCTTCGTAAAAGTTCGTGGGAATCTCCTGAGACGCTCTTCTTAAGCAGCTCACGGACACTTTCTGCTTCTCAAACTCTTCTAAAACTGCAGCAAATTCTTAGTCACCTATTCAGGAAAATTGAAAACATCTTAAGGAAAACAGAGGCCTGGGTACCTTTAATCAGGTACTAGTGTTCGGTAGACTGAGCGGGATGATCATTTAGTTGTATTTTACTGGTGAACCAAAACGACCTTGACTTCAAGCTACTGACTTCCAAGTTCAGAGAACCCAGTTAAAATTATTTTTCACTATCAAGACAGGAAGTGATAAACCTAGGAAGGTAATTCAAGATCTTGGGAGGGCCGGGACTTGGTTGAGGCAAGTGTGGCATCTAGGGCTCAAAATCTGAAGAGACAGTGAGTCTCAGAGTCATGCAAGCGTTGGGCACACGCGGGAACCTGAGGCTCCCTCACTGGAGTCCTGGCCCCCGGAGCTCCCGTGCCAAGCACCTCTATTACCTTCTTTGTAAAAACAAGTTGATAATAATGGTATCAACCTCTAGAAAACACCAGACTAAAAGGAAAAGATGATAAACTGGATATCATTAAAAATAAATTCTGATCTTCAAAAGGCTCTCTTAAGAGAATGATAAATAATCCACAGAGTAGAAGATACTTGCATTAGATTTATCTAACAAAGAATTCATATCCAGAATAAAACAAGAACTCCTACAATGCAATAAGAATCCAACAAAAAATGGAAAGAAGGAACCAAAGGGTTATTATACAGTACCTCACCAAAGAGGAATCCAAATAGCCAATAAATATGTGAAAAGTGCCTAACTAATCTTTAGTGACCAGGGAAATGCAGATTAACCAATGATATATCACCAAATACCCACCCAAATGGCTACAGATTTTAAAACTGACAATATACAGCAAAGGCAAAGCTGGACCACATGGAATTTGTATTCACTGTGTGTGGAGATGTATACAGCCACTTGGGAAAACTATCAGTATCTATTAGGACTGACTGTACCCATGCTTTATGACCCTCAAATTCCACCACTACATGTATGCCTAATAGACATGCACACATATGTACATGTTTTATGATCCAGTATACCTGTTTTCTGATGTACATATGTACACTCTTTACCCAGTAGCTCGTACCAAAATCCTCAGAGCTGTCTTTGGTTCCTCTCTCTCACTTTTCCCCTCCAATAGATGTGGAAATGCTGGCTCTAGCCTCAAAATATATCCAGAATTCCACCACCTCTCACAAATTCCAATATCACCACTGCAGCCCATTCATGTCATCCCATCTAGTGCAGTAACCTTCCCAACAGCTCTCCCTGCTTCTATGCTACTGCTAGAATGATGCTTTCCAATCATAAATTAGATTATGCCGACATTCCATTCAAAAATATCCATTTAAAGTAAAATCATGAACAATAAGGTCTTATATGATCTGGCTTTTGGTTATTTCTCCAGGTTCACTTCCCTGCACTCTTCTGCTCTCTCATTGCCCTCCACCCACGCTAGCTTCCTTGCTGCCCCTCAAACACACCCAGCCACAGCAAACCTTCACCATGGATTTTGGATTCGGATGCTTCTTCAGTACTAGACATTGCAAATTGCTTATTGTCTATATTTTTCTTAAGACTTTTAATGTCCACAAATCTTTCATTTTTATGGGGTCATAATTATTCATCTTTTCCTTCATGGTTTGTGCACTTTATATGCCACTTAAGAAATCTTTCTACCCTAAGAGCATAATGATTTTCTCCTATATTTTTAACATTTTGTTTTCATATTTGTCTTTATTCTCCCATAAAAAAAGAATTTCTGTTTATGATATAGAGATCCAATTTAATCTTTTTGCCACATGAATAACCCATTGTCCTCACACAGCTTACTCATGACTCATCCCTTCTCCATTGATCTGCAAGACCCTCTGTCATGTATCTGCTTTCCTTATTTGAGTGGAAATGTTTCAGGTTCTCTATTCTGTCCCATTATTCTGCTTCTATATTGGGGTGTCATTGCACATAGCTGCAAATACTATAGCTCTGTATCTTAATATCTTGTCAGGAAATTGTGTTCACCTTGTTCATCTGCTTTGTGCCTCACAATTGGGTGTTTTGAAGCAGACTATCTACCTCCCTGGAAGGTAGTTGATACTGCCATGTTAAAAATTATCCAAGACGGTTCCACTTGAAACAAAGTAGTCTTAATTTATTTCTGACCAACCCTATGAATAAGAACAATTGTGAAAGCTGACCATGTATGAGAAAAAGGTGACAAAATATGATAACTTACCAGACCTACATCCTGAAGGGAAGCCAGAGAGGTGACATTTTTGCTATAGCCAAAGGAATTTACCAATCTGAAAGTGGCAGCCCAGAGGCCTAGAAGCTGAGCAGGAATATGTAGCTGAAAGGCTGAGATACTGGAGAGAGCTTTCAACAGTTTCATGGTTCTTTGGGAAAGGATATTGGTTCCAGAACCATTAAAAAGGATAATAACATATAATTGAGGATGAAATTTGGGAGATTCATGAGATGTTGAAAAGCTCTAATCTGTCTTAGTCAATTGCCTACTAATAATAATTGAAATAATGTATTCCATAATGTTTTTTTCTAACTATATAGAGTCTTAATGTTATAGGGCATTTTAAAAAACTACTTTAATTTATAACATTATTTTTTGGTAGGGGATATGATAGGATAATCAATAAAAATTCTCAAAAATAAAAATATATTAGGATAAAATTCTGTTTGGGAAAGGGAGTATATTTTTGTTCAAGAAGAAAAGGAAACTATATATTTTTAACTATTAGGGTTTATTTCATTTTCAATATTGAAAATTCTGGTCTTCAAATCCCTATGACATTTAGGTTCCAAGAATAATGTTATAATAATCTTTTTTAATTTTTTAATTTTGCTATCATTAATGTACAATGTTATAATAAGCTTTAAAATGGCAATGTTATAAGCCATAAATAATGTGATTTTATGTAAACTATTTCAATTTATTATGAAAATTCTTAGATTCAGTTTAATAATATAAATGGAGCATCTAGTTCTCCAGAATTATTTTAAGGAGTGCCCCAGAAAAAAATTTCAGTGTTACAACTCCAGGTGATCTCATGCATGTTCATGGTTTTAAATATTAATGAGTTCCAAATGTATATCTATAATGCTATTGCTCTCCTGAACTCCAGGGTTGTATACTAACTGCCTTTTTGGCATTTCCAGTTGAATATCCAATTTGGAATTTTAAATTTAACAAGTTCAAGGTTGAGGTATCACCTCACAACATTGAGATACAATCTCTTACTTGTCAGATAGGCAACTATGAAAAAGACAAGAAGTAACAAGTGATAATAAGGATGTGGAGAATCACAATATAGGTTGATCACAGGGACAGTAGTACAGAGAATACCATTAATGATTATGTAACATCTGACTACATTGATGGACAGTGAACACACTGGAGGCGGTGAGGACTTGATAATATGGGTAAATGTTGAACCACTGTGTTGTGTATTTGAAACCAACATAAGATTATATATCAGTAATGCTCTAATAATTACAAAAACAGCAAAACATAATGGAGGAAAAAAAGGATGTGGAGAAAAGGGAACCCTTGTGCACTGTTGGCAGGAATGTAAATTGGTGCAGCCACTATGGAAAAATACATGGAGTTTCAAAAAATTAAAACTAGGACAATGATATGATCTAGCAATTCCACTTCTGATGTTTATCCAAAGAGGACAAAAACACTAACTTGAAAAGGTATGCATATGTACACTGTAGCATTATATATAATAGTCAAGATGTGGAAAAACCTGTGTCTATTAATAGAAGAAAAGGTCTATATGTACAATGGAATATACTACTCAGTCATAAAAAAGAATGAAATTTTGCCATTTGTAAGAACATGAATGGACCTTGAGGGCATTACGCAAAGTGAACTAAATCAGACAGAGAAGGACAAATACCATCTAATCTCATATATATGTGAAATCTGAAAAAAATAAAACAAAACAGACCTCATACAGAGAACAGACTGGTGGTTGCCAGAGTTGGGGGGTGGGGATGACAGTGAAATTATACAGGTGAAGGGGGTTCAACAGGTACTAACTTCAATTATAAAATAAATAAGTCATGGGGATGTAATGCACAGCATGGTGATTATAGTTAAAAATACTGTATTGCAAAATTGAAAGTTTCTAAGAAAATAGATCTTAGGTTCTTCTCACAAGAAAATTTAGTAACTTGTGTATGGTGACAGATGTTAGACTTATTTTGCAATATATACAAATATTCAATCATTGTTGTACTCCTGAAACTAGTATGTTATGTGTCAGTTATACCTCAATTAAAATAAAAAAATGACTCCCAGGACTCACCTGTTGGTGGTGAGCAGGGAAGCAGTGTTATACTAAATCAAACTGAGAAAATACATCACTTGCGTTCCAATTCTGAAAGTATGGTGTGGTGCAGGTGGTATTGTCTAGCTCTTGATTGTTTGCACATTATTTTAAAATTGATTTTACTAACAGAAAATGGCATGTGCTTGTATGACTTTCCTCTAGATCTCTAAACCAGCCTTTTATAGGAAAGTAGACCAGTAACAGTGAAAAAAATTTTTATTTAGCACTGTGAACTATGCATGTAACATACCTCAAGTCCTCACAATAGTCCCATTTTTCAAATGGGAAAATTTGCTAACGGTTATGTGACTTAAATGCCCAAAGATTTAGTAAATGGCAGTTGGTTTCTAGAACCTAATTTGGCTCCAAAAACCAGTACCAAATCATTGCTTTCCAACAGGGTGGTTCTAGTTAGTAGTTTTCACCTGCATGCTGCAAAATTATTTATGATAGATGAATTATTTTATGTATTCGCAAATTAAGAGCCCATCTTTAGTCAGAAATTGTGCCTTATTCTTAAAATGGCCTTCCTTTTGAAAAACGAAATGAGCTAGTAAAGGTGCCTCCCCCACCCCCCGTAGAATAAAAAGCGGGGGAAAGTTGTTAGTCTTTCAAACAACGTTTTAAAGTATTATCTGATCCATCCATTTTAAAAGTCAGGACCGAGTGTCGCACCAAACAATAGTGTCTGTGGGGTAGGTGAGGAAGTAGTAAGAACAAGGGTCTCAGGTTAAACACGACCAAGTTGGAGCTCCACAAGCCGGGCGAGGAATAAGAACGACGCATCCCGGCCGTGGGCGTCTTCCCCCAGCGCAGCGCCGTCCGGTGCCCGGGGTACGCAGCCAATACCGAGGAACAGTCACAAGCCGCGCTTGGGACTACGGCGCTCCCAGTGTCCTCGATCTCCGCGCTCCGGGCTTTGGCCGACTCCCGTGCGGGGTTCCAAAAGGAGCCATTGGTAGGGAATTACGGCCCGGGAGTAACCAAGGGAAGCCAAGCCACTGACAGCGAGCGGAAGCAGTCCATAGGAGACAAGGACGTGCCAGTGCGTGCGGAAGTCACACAGTCAGGGGGGCTGGCCAAGTGCGAGAAATCAGAACTCTCGCGATAGGTGAGACGAAAATTCCCGGAAGTGATTCTCCGGAAGCAGCGTGATCGCTCCCCAGATCTGTCCGGGCTGTACGCGCTGAATCGCCTGATACCATGCAGTCAGATGATGTGAGTCTCCTCCTGCTGTGCCACCCGGGTTTTATGCAGGTGTCTCCTCTGCTTTAGGAGACTCAGAAGGCACCTGGCCCATTAACCTCGTGTTGCTCCTCAGACAAGGCTTTCAGAAGCCCGATTTCCGAGGGTGGGAAATCTCACGTGTCTTCGCGGGATTTCCAGCCCTCTGCCCCTCTGGGCTAAGGAGCCAGAATTCCGCCGCCTCTGTTCACAGGGTCGGCGTGTCCGGCCCTTGGTGCCCAGCAATGAGGGACTCGGCGTGGGGTCCCTCCAGACTTGGGGGGCGGGGCGGGGTGGGGTGTGGGGAACTGTAAAGTATAAAGATCTGGAGGTGAGAGAGGGGGAATACATGAAAGGGCACCAATGTGACTGAATAATAGGAATCAAGGTAAGAGACAGGTAATGCAATTGGACTTAATGCAATTGGAGCTTGCAGGGCAAGATCATGAAGTGTTTGTAGAAGTGTGGCTTTTAATGGGAAAATGACAACTGATTGACGTTTGTGAAAAGTTGTATGAAAGGCTTTTGAAGGAAAGAATGAAAACGAGACTAGATTATGATGAAAGTAGTTTCAGCCACGGTAGTAATGGAGATCAGAAGTAGATGAACTTGAGATCTGTTTTATCAGATCTAACTGAGAAGAAAAGGTAGCAGTAAGATCAATGGTGGCTTTATTCATGGAAACAGGGAGGAATAGGGAAGGAACACGTTAATTGAGAGGTGTGGAATTGAGAGCTCCCTTTGGATATGTTAACGTCCCTTTGGATATGTTAACGTTTATAGACGGTTCAGGTGGGGATGTCGAGGCAGCTGGATATATATATATGCAAGTCTTCTCTCAGCAGAGAAGCCTGACCAAGACATAACAATTTGGGAGTCATCGACTTAGAGATGATACTTCAGACAGAATGAACTCCTACACTTAAACTTTCAATTTCTTTTATCTGTTTCTTACCATCCCCCACCACACACACATCATAAAATTCCAAGTGTTCTATTCTTTTACACTTCTTTATATTTTTCTTTTTAACTACTTAAAGCCCTTCCCAGTTCCTCATGGCAGTTCATTCAAAGACTCTGACACTCTTACAAACACCTCTGTTGTGGCACTTAGTCTGTTGCTTTGGAATGTTTTGTTTACATATCTTTCTCCCTAACTAGATAGATAACATTGTTTAAGAACTATACCCTTCCTTCATTTAACAAGTTCTTGAGAGGCTCCTGTGTGTCAAAACTTAGGCATGTCAGTGCCTTGCATAAATACAATATATAATAAATGCTAAATGAATAAAGAGCCCATTAGGAAAGATAGCAATAGGTGACTTTTCTTGCCCTCGATGAGATAAAATCATGATATATGCATAAACCTCGTACTGTGCAGCCTTTTACTATGGACAACGGATATTTAAAAAGGTAAGTTACACAATATATATGATATCTCATTTTTGTTAAAACACAGGCATACTAGTTGTGGAATGTACACACATAGAAAAAGCTCAAAAATATTTACAGAATACTAATGAAATTTCATCTCTGGGTAATGGGGGTTTATGTTTATTGCTAATTTACTTTTTCTATAAGGATCTGTCATTTGTGTAAAGAAAAGAAGACCAACCATCTTATGAACCACTTCTTCCTCCTGTCTTTCCTCTAAGACTTCTTTCCTCAGTAAAGCAGGGCACTGCCTAGGGCATTGTTTTCTTGGATTAATACACAATCTACTGGGTCTGAGCAACTGAAATGGGTTTTTGCTTTGTTTTGCAGGTTATCTGGGATACACTAGGGAACAAGCAATTTTGTTCCTTCAAAATAAGGTGAGTCTAGATTTGCAACCTGAACAAATTCCTTCAGTTGCCCTCTTGGTAACCCATTTTATAATTATTGCTCTTTTCCTCCCATTCTAGAACCAAAACTCAGAGTTTTTGCAGAAATGAATACAGCCTGACAGGACTGTGTAATCGCTCATCCTGTCCCCTGGCAAACAGTCAGTATGCCACTATCAAAGAAGAGAAAGGTAACTCCTCCATTTTAACTTCCAAGAGAATTAACTACACAACAGCTTTTAAAATTATGTCCTTTAGTCTCCTGTAAATCACACTAAAGATAATTACTTTATCTTGCAGGACAGTGCTATTTGTATATGAAGGTTATAGAAAGAGCAGCTTTTCCTAGGCGTCTCTGGGAACGGGTAAGACCTAGAACATAAACTTACAGTGACTATTGATCAAGAGAAAAAATGCCATGTGTTTTTCTCTCTTCCTCTACTGCAGCTAGGTTAACATTTGAAGCCAGACTGACTAGGCTCTGTAGGTGTTATTAACAGTGAAGACCTAACCATTTACCCTTGCTCTTCAAGTTTCCTTTTTCTGTGTGATAGGTACGGCTTCATAAAAACTATGAGAAAGCACTGGAGCAAATAGATGAAAATCTCATATACTGGCCCCGTTTCATTCGACACAAATGTAAACAGAGATTCACCAAAATCACCCAGTATCTAATTCGAATCCGAAAACTTACACTAAAGCGACAGTAAGTATTTAGATCATTCGTTCATGTATTTTTAAATCTATTTTTCCATGGGTCATATTATACAGCTGAGAGATTATGAATCTCATAGGGCTCTTTATTAAACTCGACTTTGGGTAATCTTTTATGATATGCTAAGAAGAAACGTTACCTCAGATTAAAGTTGTGCCCTTTGATTTTGCAGTATAGTACAACTTGATTATCCCTTCCCTGTCTGAAAATCAGCTTCAGAAAATTTTCTTTATAAACCCTGTGAGGGAATGTGAAAATTAGGGATTTGAAAATGACCCCAGAAATGTGAGTAAACACGAATGTAAGAACTTTACTCTGGGTTCATTGAAAACTAATTTTAAAAAGTGATATGAAATCCAAAGAATTGACTGAATACCTTTTTAAGGAGTGACAGGCTCTAATTCTTTTTCACTGTGATCTGTAGAGAATGCTAAAGATGTCAGTCTTCTGAAAATTCCTTTTTCTTACTTCACTGAAGGATTAATCTTACCATAGTGAGTACCCTTGAAAGTGTCAGAATGCCTAAAGAAAACAGACACAGCACATTCAAATATAGTAAAAATGTCTTGACTTTTTATAGTATTTTCTAGAAAACCTAAGTACATAATCTTGCTTGCAGAGCTGAACCCTACAAATCAATTCCAATAGCTTTCTCTTCTCATTGTTTAAAAGGAAGATCATGTGCTTGGGTTTTCTTATAATGTGTTTTATTCCCCATAGGAGGAAACTTGTTCCTTTGAGTAAAAAGGTGGAGCGGAGGGAGAAAAGAAGAGAGGTAATTTATTGGTCTGCTATTCATAGGTTCTGTATTTTCATTGAAGGTAGGGCTGTGTAACTAGGGCTCAGGAGAAAGATTCAGTCACCACTGTCAATAAATTGCTCAGTCCCTGAATAATGGGTCACTAATGGATAACATTATTAATTTCACAAGATACCTGATATTCCATATCTTAAGATTATGACTTTGGGGGCAGGCTAAAATAGGGGATGCTTTGGGGATACATGTAATGGAGAACAAAAAGAATACCTGAAATAGATCCCCAACTCCTAGTTCTTGAAATTCTTGATCATGTGTTTCAGAATTCTGAATTTGGTGTGGTGCTGATCCTAGATATTTCACATTGCTGTCAGCAGGGTTTGAGCATTCTGATCGGTCGTATTTCTGCAGTGGTACACAAGAATGTTAACACTTGGAAGTTTTAAAAACTATTTTTAAGTAGCTACATGTAGTTAAGGTCTTACTAGGTCACTAAATTGAGTTTTTAGGATTTTGAATTTGCTGATAAGGAATTGATCAGGATTATTTGTTTCTTTGAAGTAAACTAGGCAGCTTTGATTACAAAATAATAAATAGTGATCATTATACTGTGCTATTCATGGAAAATCTAGCAGGCAGCTCCAACTCATATCTCAGAGAGCAAGCAGTCAGCCTGTCCACCTCAGTGGTACCTCACTCAAGCTGAATTTTCTTAAGCTTTTCAAGACCCAAGAATTAGCTTTTCCTGTCAAGTTCAAATTTTTAGTCACTCTAGGTATTAATTTTCCTTACCTCCCTTCCACCAACAGACATTTACTTGATACTATCAAGAAATAACTTTAATGATCTTGATGCTTTTGCTCCCGTTAAACACAGTTGTATTTCAAATCTGTTAAATCATTGGTCTCCAAATTATTTTGATTACTCATCCATCAATAAAATTTTTGAACATCTTCCCCAATATATTATAAATACTATGTTTGTATAATATGCATACTAATAGGAATAAGTAATTCTTTGTGATGTAGCAAAAGGGTCTGGTTCTAGGTATAAAATTGTCTTTAAAAGGGTTCTTATAACTGATAGATACCTCAGACACAGAAATGTATTGTTGATTGTTTGCATTAAGTACTTGCTCTTTACTTTCATTCTCTACCACCCATTATGCAGAAGTTTTTATTCAGATCCAGCTAGTGAGTTTTCTTCCCTGATTGTTAAACAGCTGTTTTTGCAAATCTTTCAGGAGAAATTAAATTTTCCTGTTTTTACCAAACAAGATTGAAGCCCTCTGAAAAATGTAGGTTTGGAAGACTTTTAAATAGGTTGGAAAAGTGTTTCCAAATTTTCTAAGTGTGTGGTTGCAGTTTTTATAGGAGACACATTTTTAGTAATATCACATACAGATGTAATCACTTTTTTAATTGCTCAATCCACAGGATAGGTTTTTTTCAAAAAAAACTATTTTAGAAACTCAGTTAATATGATCTTTCTCTTGAAAAAAAAAAGCAAGTGCATTTATTTTTTAAAACTTCTGCTCCATTACATATTACTGTCATTTATCATAGAAAAGGTTGGCAAATTTGGAACACTTTTATTTTTGTGAAAAATGAATGGCTCTGTAAGTTCTACAGGTGTTTTTTAAGTACTAAACCGTTAAATCACTGGCATACGTTTGTAACCACTCCCTATCTTAATTGTAAACTATTGAGTATCATCTATAAATCAGTTACCCAAGAATTATCAACAGCTGTATGTTGTAATAATAATAAAGGAGACCACTCACCACTTTACATTCTGCAGTATTTTCCTCTCAGGATGTCTTACTGTATCTGACACACAACTGTCTGCTTTTTGGACAGAGACAAGGCACCAGTGTTGTTATGCATAGAAGATATTTTTAATGCTTTTCTTTAAGATACATACAAGTTTATATACACAGAAGTTTTGAGTATTTTCTTCTTACATCTCAGTGGATCACCCTTGAGGTATAAGCACCCAGGTTAGAGGACAGTGTAAACCATCACAGTAACCTTTTAACTGGTCCACATGGCCCCAGTCTTCCTGCACTGTAATTTACCAAGCACACTTGATATTCTCACATAGTTCAGTAACTTTTCAAAATCCTTTATGACCTTCACTATCACATTAATGTACTGACCTTCACTATCACATTAATGTACAGTCTTAGACTACATTGAGGTTAAGAATTTTATGTTTTTTTATCTACTTTTCAATCTATCACATGGAATATAACAGGGTTTTAGAAAATGTAAAAGAGTTAAGGTCTCATCTGTTTCCACTTCTCAGCTTTCACAAAGACTGCTTCACGATTGCTCATTTTCTGAGACACTTAAATGTACATAGACCTACATGGTTTTTATTTCTATCAAAGGCTTTGTTAGAATCTAGTTGTTTAGAATGCTACTTATAAAACCCTAATAATTTTTTAAATTAAAAAGTTCCCCAGTTCTGAGAGGGAAAGAAGAAATATATCTGGTTGCTAAAGTGCCAATAATAGCAGGAGGGAAAAAGTGATTATGTCTTCCTCGTAAAAACTTGATAGCTTCACCCACGTCTGTACTGAAAAATGAGTACTAATGAAGTATATGGGTTTACTCTTTTTCTCATTTAGGAAAAGGCACTGATAGCTGCTCAGCTGGACAATGCCATTGAAAAGGAATTGCTGGAGAGACTGAAACAAGACACGGTGAGAAAGCTAGGAACTTTGGGGTATAAAGTTATTTTTAGGTGGTAACATCATGCTAGGAAACAATGGGAAATGTGTTTTATTTTCAGAGATACTAGAAAGATCTTCACTTTGGTTTTATTCCTAGAATAAATAAATATCAAGCAGGCCCTGGCTTCCTCACTTTACCCCTTTGAAGCAAGCACATGAAATACTTTGGTTACTCTTGGTACTCTGTTCAGTAAGAGACCTTTCTCTTTTTCCATTATTCTCAATGCCTGTTTCCAAATGCAGCAGTTCCAGATCTCTGTACAGAAGCCACACAGTTTTGATCCTCCTGTATATTACCCTAGTCTTCAAAAGGTCTTTAAAATTTTTTCTTTTTAAAAAAATCAGTGTCATTTACAAAGATAACATGAATAAAATTTACTTTCCTTACTATTCACCCTTTGTCAGCAAAATTAATTTGTTCCATTCAAGGATTTTACAGACTATAAAAATTTTAGATAATCCATTTCCTTCCCTTATAGGACTTACCTGTTTGATATTAGCCTCTAAATTATTTAAATGTCAAAATGGACTTTTTAAAGACATTGCCACCTCTAGGCTTGAAAAAGTAGTATAGAAATATTACTCATCAAAGTATTCTTCCTTAACACTGAGGAAAATAATATGCTTATTGAACAGCAGACTTTAAGTATAAGATCCAGATGTAGTAAAAGCCAGTCTGTGTTTATGTTCTTCAGTATGGCGACATCTACAACTTCCCCATTCATGCCTTTGACAAGGCCCTAGAACAGCAGGAGACAGAGAGTGACTCTTCAGATGCTGAGGAAAAAGATGACGACAACGACGACGAGGACAAAGTGAGCCTTGTTTGGTTTTGCTTTGCCAAGCAGCAATCTGTGGAGCCATGTCTAATTTTATGTAATTGAGAGAATATAATACCATCTTCAGTCTCCTAACCAAAAATAATTATTTGGTATTTCTTCTATCATAGGAGATTAATTTTGGTTCAACAGTGGCTGTGTTTTCCAGATTCAGCCAACAAACTATTTATGCATAGACAATTTTAATCTTACTAGCATTCTAAAATTTTTCCTGGAAGGTGACAAATGAAAAATCCTCTTGTGTTCATAGAACATACCATTAAGGAACCTACTGAAATTTGCAAAGTATTTTATTTCTAACTATTAACATAGGAGAGGTATTTGAATAATAGTATTTTTAATAAAAGAGCACATTTAGCAAGCAGATGCTTAATTACATGGTACACGCACATAGGTACACAGATTATTTTCCTATTAAACTTTAATATTTACTTTTAATAGTTTTAGTGGAATGCACAAAGAATTGTTTGTAAATCCCTTCCTACATACTGATCTTAACCAATTAAAATGAGGATGTTTTACCTCTAAAGATGCCCAGGCATGAGAATTGATATCCCTAAAATGTTTCCTGATTTTTCCTAAAATACCCCTGAATGTTCATTTCAGAAGTGGTAAATTTAGAAGTCAGTATATCTTGGCTGCCTAGTAAAAAGACTAATTCTGCTTATTTATGCACTTACTTATCAAAGAAGAAAACTGGATGTCTTAGCTGAACTTGATGTATTTTGAACCTAACAGTTGTTTCATTTTAGGATGTGGGAAAAAGAGAGTTTGTGGAAGATGATGACATGGATGAGAGTGACATAAGTGATTTTGAGGTGAGATTTATGGGTTAAAAAATTGCCCTTTGGCCTTTACAAACAAAGAGGGGGTGGTTTCTGAACATACAGAGGCAGGTACGTTCTCAAGTTTGTTCTCAATTTTGAGGACAATAAAGGGAGTTTGGGAGAATGAATCTAACGACCTCTTATTTTTTCCTCCCCATATTAGGATATGGATAAACTAGATGTGAGCAGTGATGAAGATCAGGATAAGTCCTCTAGTGAGGAAGAAGAAAAGGCTCTTGATGCCAAACACAAAGGCAAAACACCCTTGAAAGGACCTTTGCAGAGAAAACGAGCCTACGTAGAGATAGAGTATGAGCAGGAGACAGAGGCTGTGGCCAAGGCCAAAGCCACGTGATTTCCCTCCGGATGTTTATAAACAGGACTGAACATTTCGAACTTCTCTTAAGCACACACACCACTGGTTTTTGCTTTTATATTTTAACACAGTTTTTGTGTTTTTACTATTTATGCCACTTCTGTGAGGCAAGAAATCTGGAAGCAGAGGAAAGCCTTGAATTGTGAACAGAGTATTTTTATAGCATTGGCATATGAGTTGAAGTTAATAGCTTCAGCCCAAGAAGTTTAGTTTTAAATGCCACCCACCCATTTCCTTGCTGTTCTTTCCCTCCCTGCCCTGACTTCATTTAACAATGTCCAGACATCAGTTTTCCCTTGTTCTCCTTTCCCTACTTTGGGAGTAAAAAAAAAAATACCATGTATACACCTGAGTGGAAAGAAAATGTCTTTAAGTTCCATCGTAGGGAGCACCTTCAGAAACCTGCTGCACTTTCCTGATACAGTTCAAAACCTTGCTATCTTCACAGCTTTGGGAAATTTTGGCCAGGAGATCCTGAAACATGAAACCAAACAGGATTTGAACTTTTTTTAAAAATTATTTTTCTCCTTTTACCTTTGTTCTTTTTTGGACCACACTCAAAAGAAGGAAGGACACCAGGGGACAGTTCACGTTAACAGGTGTAATGTTAAAAACTGTTGGCATGTTTGGAAATGTCCTGTTGGCTTATGAAGAAGCAACTTAATACCAACCAAGGCAAATAGAGTGGATCTAGCGTTTAAAACTGCGTGAGATTAAAAAGCTAAGATGAAATAATTTGAATAAACTGAAAAGAACAAACTATACTATTTATAAATATTTTTAAGATATGAATTTCTTACATGCTGCCTTGTGATTTTCAATGCAAGATTCCTAAATGGAGTAAGAAAAAGGCAATCGTTTATTATATATAAATATGCATATAGTTACCACACTGCTGTGGCTTTGAGAAGTTAACTTGTGGAATATGATACCAAAGGAAGTATTCTCGTGGATAAATAAAAATATGGAAGAACAGTTGCCTCGGAAAAACTAGGAACATTTCTGGTATCGATTTATCTGTATTACCCCTTGGTGGCTTATAGCCTATTATTTCATCTCTTATTTTTGTTTTTTTTAATTCAGACGAGTAGAACAGAACTTAAATTTTAGAAACTCTTGATCGTGATCCTTTTGCCCATCTGTCCTGCTCCCAGAGACATCTGATCCTCTTGCCTTGTGACCTAAAGTACTGAACAACTTTAAAGGAAGAATAAGGTATTGATCCAACTATTGATGGCTAAAGGGTTGGCATGTGGAGACCTGAACCTTCCATGTTCATTTATAGACTTGGTCCAGCTTGTGAATAGTAAATTATAAGCAATCACAGGAAGTAGCTAAGAATAATGAGAACTGTACTGAGTTGCAGACTCTCCCTTACCTTCACCTGTCCTTGAGAGCAGTGATCCAGGAGAATGAGGCATTCCGTGGCCGCCTCTAACAAGGCGCTCTTAACAGGCTCAGGTGTAAGGCTTGGATCCCTTGCTACATCACATATCAGTTTCAAGAGAGCCTTCAATAAAACCACAAGCCTACAGGGAACTCTGGAAGCAAGACGAAAAAAACTATCTTCACACTCTAAATCAGGTATTAAAACAGAGAGGCCTCAAATGCCATCTAAATGTACAGCCCTCATTCATAAATGGAGGAACTTGAGTGAAAGTTAATAACAGTGGCCACAGAGCTGGAAGCAGAACTAGAGTCCAATCTCCAGACTGACTTCAAGTCCTGTTTTCCTCTACAGTATATACTCCCCTTATGCATAACTGGGCTTGCGTAAGAATACCTTGCTCCCTCCAGAAGCTTGCTTCTACAGGGAAGAAACAGCCCCTCCTGATATGGCAGTTGGGAGAATGGGTCTCTGCTAACCAAGGGACTATGGCCCAGAGAAGAGGAAATGATCCACAGTGCTTTAACTTATGTGATCTTAAGCCTGGAAGTTTGTGAGAGAAATAAGCTTGGCTTCTGGGACACTTAAGCTTCGTGTAAGTATCAGTTTGAATTTTGCCATTTAATTCCAGATTCTAGGTTACCATCAATAAGCCCAACCTCTTTACTTCTACTTATTAGCTGTTCTAAAAGTTCTTAGCTTGATAAAAGTTCTGGAAATGGATAGTGGTGATGGTTGCACAAAAGTGTGAATGTACTTAATGCCACTGAACTGTATGCTTTAAAATGGTAAAAATCTTACATAATTTTTTTACACAAAAATTAAAAGCCTTAGTGAAAGCTGAAAAGTAATTAAACTTGTAATGTGAAAACACAATAAATGATATTTCTGGATAGAAATGTGAGTGGGAGAAGAAAAGTTTGCATCCCTTACCTTGATCTAAAAAAATATTAAACAGTTTCCTATAATGTGAGCGCTACTCAGCCCTCCATCTGTTATCATTAAACATATCATCTATTGTTTTCCACTCCCTTAGGCCCACCTCCCACTTCATACATGACATTTTCAAACTTGCCTACATTTGCTTGTGGATCTCCTACTTGGAATCTTGGTCACTGCTATTTAAAGGCTGACAGTATTTGATTCAATTTCATTCACCAATCCATCCATTCTATTCTAATCCATTCATTCCTCAAATATTTGTGAACTTCTTGCTAAGTACTGAGTGAACTTGCATATATTCAGTGTACTAAAGTGGTCTTCCATCCTTCTGAAGCTTATAATTCAGTAGGGGAGAAAGACTGAGCCAACTCAGTCTAGTTATAAATGTGACCAAGGGCAAGGTGGTCAGGTAATTTATAAGGATCAGAATAGATATGTATGTTAGGGCACTGGACTCTAGCTGAATTAAACTTCTGCTGACTCAACATGTTTGGATTCCACTTTACTGTCAGACACCTACTTCAAGCCACAGTTGGAATGCTTTCTAAGTAACCATATCCTACATTAGTATTTTCCTGATCACTGCTCTGCAAATGTTCAATAATGTGCTCTGAAATGCTCTGTTCTCAATTATATTTCAGAAATGTCAGGGTGAACAAAGTTAAGCATGTCTCTTGCAGCACTTCTAAATGGCCTTTAAAATTTTAAGAGGCATTATGAATCTAGAAAGATACACACCTGAAGTAACCATGGGTTACATGGGTTTTATCTTTTCAATGCCGTTTTCTCAGTTCAAACTCCAACAGGTATGTAAAATGTGAATCCAATTACATATGGCATGTCCTTAATACTCTGTACTGAATGTACATCTAGGCAAGTTCTAAAAGAGAGCTTTGCCCCTCGGCAAGCCCGTCTGCCTGGCTGTCATACCTGGGCCAGGTATACTGCATGAGAAGTTTTAGGGTCTCCAGTATCTGTAGTCTAGCCTCCTCCTCTGGTCCATCATAAACCTCCAGATAACCAATGATGACTCGCTCCAGTCTCTTCAAGTGCCGGACACTTAGGATGCCCAACCTAAAAAGAGAAGAGGAAATGTGACACCAAAGAGATGAAGTCGAGAGTACAGCAGCCCAGCAGCCCAGCAGCCCAGGCACTCGCCTCCTCACAAAAGCTGGCAGGTTTCTCGCATAGGTCCTGCGTAAGAGGAGGCGGTGTTCTGGCTCCATGTGGGTCAGGATCAGCTGCAGTGTCTCATCACAGCGTGTGCGGGGTTGAGCCACATCACCCTTCCAGTGCAGAGCTTTCTCCAGGACTGGGAATAAATCCAGCAGACAGAGGAGTACAGCCTGGGAGGAAGCAACAGAAAGGAACCGTAGTTCATCAATTTGCATTCACAACACTCACTGATTTTTTAGTGATTAAGTAGATTTATTAATTTACTATACTTAGGATCCATGTCATAGAATTCTAAAAATACTAGTAATAATACATTAAGTGTACATTATATTTCTAAACTTGTTTACATTATCTGCATCTGACAGTGAAATAAGCTGATATCTTCTCTGGACTCTACTTTGCAAAGCTATAAAAGGAGAAGAACAGTAGAGCTGGGACTTTGACCCAAATTTTAGAAATCTAAGTCCACTGTCACAAAATTTCAAAGTGGCATTTACAGGTATTTACAATAAAACTCTACTAAGTAAAACCTAAGGTGGTCCTCATTTGTATCCAATTTGACCACCCTATCTGAAGTTCACTGTCTAGGCACTCTCTTCTAGCTCTCCTGGGATTTTTAGTTTTTCTCTTAGTATTTTGTTTGTTATTGTTTTTTCTAAACCACCTTCTTCAGAGCCCTAACCTTTTTGTCTGTTAGGGCTTTGGGTTCTCAATACCTAAAATAATACTTTAAAATTTTAAAAAGAAAGGTGGCAGGATGAGGCAGTGGGAGGGAGGGCAGGCATAAAGTAAGAAACAAGGTTTCTACCTTGAATTTTATGTAACTTGTTTCTTCTGTCTTTAGAATGTTCTTCCCTCTCCTAAGAAACTCCTCTCCATCCTTCATAACAAATCTTCCTGAATCCTAAAACCACCCACCACCACCAAACTGGTTGGTTGCCTATTGCTGGACACCCAGTGCACTTTATACAAAGTCTCCTTTAATAGATTTATCACTCTGTATTGCAGACATATGTATAAATATTCATACATTTACACAAATGTCTCTCCAAAGAGTTTCTTAAAGCTAGACACCCTATCAGATTCACTTTTAGAACCTACAATGGTTACTGGCACACAGTAGGTACTCAATTAATGCTTATTAGATGAAAGAATGGCACATAAAATATGCAACATACAAGGAGTTTCACATGTGTTGATTTTAAGCAGCACAGAAGGAAGGACACTGGAATTAATAAAACAGAACTTTTTCAGATATAAAGCTGCCCCAAAGTGATACATAAATGTGGGGAAAATGGAAGTTCCTATGGCCAGGATCCTCATCTGACCTGAAACTACTTGATGATGTAATTGGCCTACTATTAGGCTACTGCTTCCACACTGGTAGGCAATAAGCTATTACTGAGTCACTATATAAAGAGCTCTGCCCAGCGCTCTGGGCAGAGGCAGAGACAGAGGTGGATTATGGACCTGCAGACTGTTGAATGCAGACTTAATGCTAGTGCTCAACCCACTGCCAGGAGAATAAAGCTGGGTATCAACCCTTTTACCCCAAGAACATTCTATTGTCATTTCTCAGTCTCACTGAATCCATAGTGAACTTGCCCGGGGCTGAAACTCTCAGGCAAGACATAACTGACCCAGATAGACAGAAAACACTGGCTTTTCTGTGAAGACTCAGGAATGTGGATGCCTGCTTGGTATTGAGATATTTCATTAGTCATTTGCTACCACTGTAGTTTCAACTTGGCAAAGACTTTAGTTATCATTCTCACTTTCGAAGAGAAGAAAATGTCTCTCAACTATTCTTATTAGTATGTCATGTCCTATTCAAATTTGAGAACTCAGATTCACAGTTACTCACAAATCTTACAATTACCTGAATGAGGTTGTGCTCTGGTGTGTACAGGTGGTTGAAAAGGGCATGGTATACGACCTGAGCCCTGTTATACTGGAGCAAATCAGCAGCTGGCTGCAATCAGACAAATTATCCAATTAAAAGAAAAGTTTCTGAGCATCAGCAAAATGTTGATAATTTTTTAAACTAAATTATGGGTATATAGGATTCATTAAACCACTCTACTGTATATTTTTAAAGTTTCGTAATACAATTTTAAAAACAAGTTTCCATGAGTGACAGCTTGCACGTGTGAGTATAATACCTTTCAGTTTTTTATTGTTTTGCCCCCTGAAAATCAATTGTTAAGTTACTTAAGGTCTGCTTATTCAGTTTGGCAACAGCCCGTGCCTCATGTACATAACGGCCCATGTTTCTTATATATATTACCTAAGATACAAACTCTAGTAGGTTGGCAGAGGAAAAATACAAAGAGAAAAACATAATTAAGTGACATAATAGCATTAACAGAAAGCCAGTTAATAAAATACGTAATCATAGGCAACAATAAAATAGTGATGTGATATGAATGAGGAATAGCCACGCCTCAGTCTGTCCTATCAATACGGATGACAAGGAGCAGAGGTGGCTTACCACATTCAGCACAATGTGGTGGAGGCAGTGTACACCCAGGATTTTGTTCTGAGTTTGATAGTCATCTGAGATGAGCAATGATGGAGGAAGCACTCTTTCCAAATGCTGGTTCAGCCAGGGTCGAGTGACCTGTTGCAGAGTCCGTGAGAAAACATGTTTGGTGGCAGGGTTATTCTTCCAGGATTCCCTGAATGGAAAGGTGAAACCATATTAAGCAAAGTGACATGGTGTTAACTAGCAAAGAAAATTAACCATTTCAAGATAAAGTATTTCCTTGTCCTTGAAAAAATTACATCTCGTGTAAGGTAACCCTTGATGTTGTAACATATATTTTAAGATTTAGATCAAAATAACTTCCAGACCTTACACTAAATTTATTTAACAATCATCCAGGGCTCTAAAGCTTATCCAATGAGAGGTAGCCATTTATAGCTAGAACTATGTAAAGGGCCTGTAGTGATGGTGGTGTGGTTATTACAGTGAAGATGTGTTGAGAAAGGAGGAGCAAATGAAATGTTTTCAACATAATTATAAAGAAATCAGTATTTGAACAGCAATTTTTAGCTTAAAATGTGAGTTTATACACATTATTCAATTAATCGTAAAAATAACTGTGTAACAGGTAACATCTTTATATTACAATGAAATTGAGAGTCAGAGAGGCTGTCTGAGCTGGGCCTACTCAGAAGCAATAAAAAGAAGCACCAGAGTGCCTCAGTGCTAAACCTTGTAACTCCAAGTTCTTGATAAAATGACACTCACGAACACAATTCTTTCTCATCACTCCAGTGTTACAAATACTAACATACAAAGCGGCAAGTGGAACTCACAGAAAATACTGTAACAGCTTTCTCTGTAGAGCTTTTATTTTTTCATCCCAAATACTGCTTCCATGTCTACTAACTATACCTAATAACTAGCACTGCATTTCAAGATCCCTAAGTTTAAATGCTCTCCAAATCCCCATCCCTACCTAATTTAAGGAAGTCCAGTCTAAGTAAATGAGACAACATCCAATTCCCAGGACAGCTGTCAGGAGGGCTGGAATGAACACCTGAAGACATGGCTTCTAATGTAGAATCTGCCACTATCTAGTTACATCATTTATAGCAAATTGCAATCTTTCTGGGCCTTAAGAGATCTGCTAAGACAACACTGCTATTAACTTACTGATGAAGAAATTAAGATCCCTTTGAGCTCTAACAGTCTAAAACATTAAACTGAAGCTCAAGTTGTGGCCCCATGGGTAAGGTACTACTCACTTATTCAAATCCGGTTTGAGAAGCTCCATTATCACAATAAATCTCCCTTTCTCATCTTCATTTTCTCCGTGTAGAAACCCCGCCACAGAACTACACTCAGTAACTTGAAGGAGTAAGGCAAGCACATCTCCAGCAACGTCCTGAGATCTTGGGCTGGTCCATGGCTGCTCCAAGCTGTGTGTGATGGCAAAGATATAGACGGGCCCTGCCAAGCGACGTAGGCTTGTCTTCCATGCAGGGTAAACCAAATTCTTGGCCGCCTCAACTTTCCTCAGTAGCTTAAGAAATAGTAACCCAACAGCTGCCGCTTTCTCGGCCACTTCAGAGTAACCAGCACTTTTACCTTCCTGTTCCTTGGGTGGGGCTGCATATTTCTCCAGGGCTTTAACCACTTGCCCCAGCATCTCTGGCATTCCGCGGAGCGATGTGCCACTCCCCTCAAATAATCTATCACAGTCTGTGCCTTCCATTAGAGCGCTGAGGTCCCGAAGAGCTGCATTTCTTTCCTTGTCCCGTAGGGACTCCTGGCTGGTAAAACGGTGTAAAATCTGGGAGAAAGCCTGTCCGAGGGCGGAGGAAGGCCACTCTTCAGGCAAGGAGTCCTGCCGAGAGCTGCTACGCCGCATTCCTCAGACTGGCCGCGAGGGACTGCTCTCCCCCAGAGGACGAAGATGGAGGTGGGCGGGGATCCGCTAAAGAGGGAAGGAGTGATCACCTCGAGGCTGGAATTCGCCCAAAGCATAGAAGTAAAACCAAATAAGATGACGAGTCGTTTTGCGAGGGGCTGGTGGGGAGGGTCTAACGGGATAAGAGTAAAATGTGTGGAAAAGACACAGGAAAAAGAAAGGCGCCTCTCTGGGAGAAAAATCTCTGACTTCCAACAGCGACGTGGAGAAATTACACTTGCCTTTCCGCAGGGTCAAGACAAAAAGAAAAAAAGAAAAAAACTCCACAAAAACTTAGAGTTTAAGAAACCCCTAAAGCCTGACACAAACACGACCACTGGTACCTGCAGCCCCGAAAAAAGCTCACGCCATTGCCGCAAAGCACAAGGCTAGCTTCCGCCAATACTGCGGCCAAGCCGCCTCATTTCACGACGTACTATCGTAAAGCAATTGAACTTGAGGTTCAAAAAAGGGTGGAACTAGGCCGAAATATTTGCATATATAGCGATCCTCTCGCTAATTTTGTTTCTGTTTTCGTTTATTAAGGTAAAAACAAAAGGAAAATCACAAAATATCGTGATATCCTTTAAGTGTACAGGATTCCATATGTCAAGATTTTATATACAAAGTATATGTGTCACCCTTTCTTTAAAGTTAGTGGACTATATCTGTGACTCCTTAGCAAGCAGTGTCCTCCGATCCTTTTGTAGTTCATAAGCATGATGATTGGGTTTTCACGTTCTTTCTGCGTGATATGTGTCTCCCTTTAATTTTGTTACGACGTTGGCACATTACCCGTCTGACTTGAACTTGAAGGATCATTTTAATTCTTACAGAGAAGCTGCAGTGTTACTTCCGTACGGTGTAACACCATTTGTAGTTAGTTGGTTTCTTCTGTCTTTGAGTGGTGTAGCTGTTGTTGATGTGGGGCTTTTTGAACTCGTTTTAGCTTTTGTTCTGTTAGTATGTAAGTTTACAAAGACACTACTACTGTAAAACGAAGTTGGGAACGGTCTGACCCCCACCTCCGCGAGAGGCTACCCTGGCAGAAGTGGTGCCAGGTGTTCCCGAGGGGCGGGTGTACGGTGCTGGGTGTGGGCGGCTACTGCCTGCATTTTGGGTAGTGTCATTGACTCACTGCCCGTGGTCTGATTCGGTCTTCAGCGGGGGCGGCGAGAGCCGCGGTTTTGTGTGACCCCGGTGGCTAAGCCCGTCTCACGCTGCGTCGGCATTGCTTGTCCCCTTCACTGGGGGCTCTCTGAGGGTGAAATTGTGTCAAACTGACGTTGGGTTCCCCAGGGGCGGTCGTGGTGCTTGGCCATCTTTGGGAGTTTGTGACTTCATATATCGTCCACTGTGTCGTAGGAGCCCGGGGTAGCAAACTCGTGGGCTGGAGCGCAGAGCGTCGGACGCCGGGAAGGGTGGGAGAGGGTGGGAGAGGGTGGGAGAGCCCGCCCGGCCGCTTCTCAGAGGGACCCTCAGCGGGAAGCCCCGCGTGCCGGCTTAGCCTCCTCCGTGTGTCCAGCGGGTCACCTCTTGGCTTTGCAATTTCTCAGGTCTCCGAGTCCCCCAAGGAGTCCAGAGAAAGCCTGGCAGGGTTTTACGATGTGCGTGTGCGCCAGCGCGTAGGAGGGGGTTAAAAGAATAGGTCTCCTCGCTGGTTTTGGTGCAGAGACTTACTTTTGTCCAAACCTGAGGGAGGATCCTGCTTGCAAATATTGTGTGTGTGTCCTGAGATTCCTTCCTTGATTCCTTGATGCTTCCCACCCTCGCTGACGGTGTGACCTGGCGCAAAAATTCAGTAACTTCTCTGTGCTTTAATTTCCTTAACGGTAAAATGTGGGTAATAGTAGCCCCTACTTCTTAGGATTGTTATGAGACATAAAGGAGTTGAACATATGTAATCCGTGGAGAGCTATCTTGGTAAATTCTATACAGGTGTTATCTCTTATTGTTAAACCCCAGCCTCTGTATTAGTTACATTTCCTCTATTCAGGGGAACTTTGTTGTTAGAAACCCTCCTCTATACCTCTTTCACTTAGCCTTGCCTTTTCTGACCAACTGGTGGCGCTCGTGATTTTCTAAGCAATTTCAAACTGACCAAAAAACAAACAAACAAAAAAAAACATCTCCTCCCAAGGGAATTCTCCCATATTTAAGGCCCCAGTGGGTGCAAGGTGCTAATCAGCAGAGCTATTGTATCCCTCTTGTATGTGAGTCTGTCTTCCCGGTTCCACAACACCCCTTACCCTAAGTGGATCCAAGATCTCAGTTCCTTATGAGGAGACCACTTGTCCTGCAGAGGTCTCCTCCTCAGCACTGTTTTCTGACGCCAGAGACCATGTCTTTGTCCTCAGTGCCTGGCACAATTTAGTCATGCAATAAATGTTTGTTGAACCCACATGTCCACCCACAGAGAGATGGCTGAATAAGCCAGGGTACAGCCACACAATGCAGTTCTGTGCAGCTGTGTGAAGGAATGAAGACCATCTCTGTGGAAAGCCAGGATATATCGTTGAGACAAGCAAGGCGGAGACCATGTATATGTTGCATTTCTTCTAAGAAAGATGAGTGTATTTGCTTACATTTTAAAGAAGAAGGAATGCAAGTTAAGTTACAAACTATAAAAATGTTATGTATAAGAACAGAACAAGATGATAGGGGATGGAACCTAGATATCTTTTCATATACCGACTTTGGAATCACATAAATGTTTTACATAATTGTTTTATGAAAGAAAATAATACAGAATTTCCTAAAAAAAACAAAGTATATTTTGAGTTACTGGCACAACTGCATGGAAAAATAAGAAACTTAACATTAAAACTCATTATTTTGACTGTATACCGTTAGTGTGACACATTCTAAGGACAAAAAAGATGGCAAAGCAATCAAAGTGCATTTGGTAATAGTGTTTCTTTGTAGTAATACTGGTATTGTTATTTAGATGTTATTGAATGTATTATGTATATTTTACATATATGTGTGTGTATATAGCAGCAAATAAGTAATTATCTTTATATTATTAGAAACGGTTATCACTGAAAAATGTAATAGGTACAAGTATCAAATCAATGAAGTTAGGTATAAATTCTATAGTCAAAAATTTATATTGGCAATGGCAGTATTAATTTATAATTAATTTTTCTCTTTCTATATGATGTGTATATATATGCCTTATATATGTATACACCACATAATGTATATCCTAACTATATCCACTGAAAAGGATTAGAAGCGATGACAATCCAATGGCTATAAGCAACCCTAGTGTCCAAATTCATAATCTAAATGCCACTGTCCACTAAAAGAAACCGAGACTCCTTAAGAAATTACTGATTTCAGAAATGGGGCAGGCATTGTGTAAGATGAGCCTATTGCATTTTATCATGCCAGGAAACAAGGTTGTTATCAAATACTACCTGAGGTTATGTCAAAAAAACTCAAGAGCAAAGATGAAGGGGCACCCTTTGGCCAAAGACGGAACAACTGGGCTTTAAAAATAATAATGACTAATGGATTTAAATGTATTAAATATATACACATCCACGAATTCATAGTACTGCTAAAAAAAGAAAACCCTCATCATTCACCCTTGGATTATCTAAGGAACTCTTTATTTTGAAAATTGGCAAATAAGAAGCAAAGAATCAAGCATGTATTCTGCTATGTATTTCAGGGTACCCAAATAGTTTGTAAGAGTAATAAATGCACCAGAACTGGTAGAATTAGAAAGTCACTATCTACAACTCCTAATGAATCACTAGGCAGGACAGGGCAACAACCACCCATAGTCATTGGGATTATGAGGTGGAATATGGACTGGAAATGTTATAATGGCTGGATTGAGCTAGCACAGACCTGAACCCACTGATTAATCTTTACATCACTACAAGTGAGACAATCAGATACCATGTACCTCGTGGTGCAATGTGGTAGGGAGTACATACCACGTATGAAATATTCTTGCACAAAAATTGACTCTACGTCTAATCAAACTTCTAGATCTAACTACCAAATGACAAGAAATTTGGAGGACAAAGAAACAAATGAAAAGACACCAAGACAGTATAATCAGACAAGCTCAAGATGTGGCAAATTCCACAAAGTACCTGGTTTCTTCAATAAATAGCTAGCATGAAAGAAATAGAGTGCAGCGAGAACTGATAGGGATTCAGTGTTTAAAGATATCTCAACCAACTGCAGCGTTGGGTCTTGTTTTCAATAAACAAATTTTAAAAAGGTATTTAAAACAACTGGGCGGGGGAATTTGAACATATATCCATTATTAGGGTGTTCATATAATTTGTCATCTAAAAGAGTCCTGTTAAGAGTTAAAAGGCAAACTTTATTACTCTGGCATTATACACTTTGTAGAATTATTGTGTAATTTTGAGATTATGTTTATTTCTGTTTTACATTATATTACTGTCAAGTGTACAACATACTGATTCAATATACTTATATATTGCAAAATGATCACCATAAGAATCTAGTTACATCCATCACCACACAGTTATAATTTTTTTTCTTGTGGTCAGAACTTTTAAGATCTACTCTCTTAGTAACTTTCCAATATGCAATACAGTGTTATTAACTATAGTCACCATGCTGTAGATTACATCCCCAGGACACATTTAATATTTTATAACCAGAAGTTTGTACCTTTTGACCCCCTTCAAACATTTCACCCATCCCCTACTGCTGCCTATGGAAACCAATCTCCTCTGCTCTGTATCTGTAAGTTCTTTTCTTTTTAAGAATGGTTTTTTGTTCTGTTTCAAGTCTGTGCTTTTTGAAGCTATTTGTTAGAAAAACTATTCTCAAACTTTTTAGTTTCAGAACCCTTCCCATTCTTAAAAATTAATTGAGTCATATTTACAAGGATGGCTAGAATCAAGAACACTGAAAATAAATTTTGGCAAGGATGCAGAGAAATGGAACCCTCTCATTCGTGGTTGAGATGCAAAATGATGCAACTGCTATGAAAAATAGTTTGGCAGTTTCTCAAAAAGTTAAACATAGAGTAACACAGAGCTAAACATATGAACCAGCAATTCTATTCCTGGGTATAAAGCCAAGAGAACAAACACATATATTCATGCAAAAACTTGGACACAAACATTCATAGCATTATTTATAATAGCCAAAAGTGAAACCTAAAAGTCCAACTGATCAATGGACAAACAAAATGTGGTATATAAGTACAATGGAATATTATTCATCCATAAAAAGGAATGAGGTTCAGACATTTGCTACAATATGGATGAACTGTAAAGACATTATGCTAAATGAAATAGCCAGACACAAAAGATTCCACTGATATGAAATGTCCAGCATAGGTATATCAGTAGAGTCAGAAAGATGCTAGGTAGTCAGGGGATGGGGACAGCAGAGAATTGGGAATGACAGCTAACAGATATCGGCTTTCCTTTTAGGATGATAAGAATGTTCTGGAATT